AAGGGGCCGAGTTAAATCCTCTGACTCCATTATCTCCCGCAGGGAGGCTCCACAGGGAGCCTGGGGGATGAGCCTACTTCCTAGATGGGGAAACTGAGCCATCTTGTCCGTCTGCACCCTTCCACGTCGGCCGGGCGGTCTATGCCCCCAGCCCTTCAGAAATAATACTGATGCTTTAACTCCTTAGCTCTGGGGCAGGTGACTGGACACACCTTAGGGTTCTCCCAAGTGGAACCGGATGCGGGCCATGCCTCCAGTGGCCTGAGATGCCAACACAAAGAAAAAAAAATGACTCCCCACGTCCCCTGGCTCAAACCCAGTACAAAAGGGACTATTTACAATGAAGGCGTGGGGAGTGGGAGGGGCACAGGGAGGAGTGTGGGGCCGGAGTGAGCGCTCCGCTGGAGGGAGGCCACGCCCCTGGACCCGCCTTTTAAAGGGACAAAGCCAAACAGCGAAGCTATCTCTAGAGGCTCTCGATCCCCAGGGCGGGGCAGACCCTAGGGAGGAGGGGTGGGGTGGGGCATGGGATGGGGTGCAGTGGGGGAGGCATTGGCGGTGGGAGGAGATGGAGGAAAGGTAGCAACTGCCCCTAGCCTCCCCCCTCCCCCCTTTGCCGGACACACAGTTTTCCGTGGGATGAACACAGAAAGGGTTAATCAAAAAGAGTTCGATGAGCGAGTCTGACGGTCGAGTGGGGCGGGCTGGAGCAATGAGGCCGCAGGTTCCGGTGGCCGGTGGTGATGGAGTCACTTAGAAGATGAGAGGTTGGTGGTTTTGGGGTGTGGAGTAGGGTGGGGAAGGGGTTGGGGGAGGGGGGGTTAGGCGGTCTCCACCATCTATTTCTGGGAGGCCAGAAAGTCCTAGACTGGCTGAGAAAGGGTTAAAAACCAGCAGCCTTCACCACCACCATCCCCGACCGAGACTTTCCCCGTCTCCTTCCCGGCAACCCAGCAGGCTCCAGCGAGGGTGCTGGGACCACCGACCCTACACACAGCTGTGGCGCGGTGGACAAAAGCCCCCTCCCGAGGCCGCGACACCGCTGCGTGGAGCAGCGAGAGACCGCGAGCGGGACTGGGCGTCGAGATTCCACGGGAGCGTAAACCAGGGTCCTCGTCCCGCCGCGCCCCAACTCGGGTATCGCGATCCCATTCTGCCCATCTTGACATCCAGCCGGCCTGGGTCCGGACGGGTTCCGGCAGGTGCGCGGCCCACCTTCATGGCCTTGCGCGGCTGTCGCGACAGGTGCGCTCCCAATCAGCAGCTTGGAGGCCCAAGTTGCCGTGCGCATCGCCACTCTCGTTAATACTTTCGCTAACGCTCAGTCTATCACAACGTCTAATCCTGGTCTTCAAACAGCAATCAAAGTTGGGGGACCTCCTCCCGGTTTAGGGACAGTTGGTGACCAACCGGAAGCAAAGGGAGGAGGCGGGTGTGGAAGGCAAGAGCAGGCAGGGGAGACAGAGGGTGCTGAGGGATCTGGCGGGCAGGAAGGGAGAAGTACCACCGGGGAAAAGTGGTACCGCCATGTTCCAGGTATCGCTCCCCAGCCATCTATCCACGAATCCCACTTGCAAGTCCAGGGCAGACATCAGGGCAGGTAAAGATGGCAAAGCTTGCCTTCTGATCCCGCCCGACTAATTATTGCAGTGAGGCCTCCTTGCCCACGTAGAGGTGGCTGGAACAGGGCAGAAGATGGCTGGGCAGGTTGGCTCAGAGTCCCCTGAAAGGGGCGACGAAGGAGGTGAATTTGGCACATTGAACCCCTTGTTCTGGTAAGTGCTTTGGGGCCTTCTCCCACATTCCACTGGTACTGCCCTTTGGGGCAGCAGAAGAGGGGCTAAGTTTGTCTCCCCCTCCTGATTTCTACTGCTTTGCCCAGAAAGCCGCAATAGGGGGTTCTCCCCGGCTGGTGGAATTTGGAAGGGGGATCAAAAAAGGCAGAGGTTACTTGAAAAGGAGAGGTTTTTTTTTTTTTCTTTCTTTTTCCCTTTTTTCTTATAAAGATTCTAAGAAAAATTCAGGGCAAGAGGAATGAGGAAGGGGGACCCAATTTAGCTCAGTGTCCACAGATTTTTTTCAGTGCCTGTTAGGGGCCTCCTCGAAGGATGGTCCCGCTTCCTCCACTCAGACAAGGTCCTCTCCCCCCCAGAGCGGCTCAGTTCCAAGGAAGTTTGGCACTTTTTAAAATGGGGAGATGGGGGAGAGAGTTGAGGAGGAAGACAGACACAGACAAAGATAGAGACGGGACAGAGAACACGGGGCCAGAGACAGCCAGGGAGAGGGACGTGCTAGGGGAAGCCGGAGGGCAATGAGGAGACAGTTCAATGCAGCAAACACTTATTAAGCACCTACTGGGTGCTGAGGAGCTGGGTGCACGGAGGCTGCTCAGATTCTCTGAGAGCTAATGGAGAGAGGGGAAAACAAAGAAGCGATGGGTTTTTCACTAGTCCCCATCCCTGTCCCCACATCTGTGTCCCTTCTGGACAAACTGCAGCACGAAAGATTGAGGTCAGATTGCAGAAGGGATTTTTAAGGAAGGGGAAGATGGTGGAATGGGTTTCCCAGGGTGAAACGGAAAGGTACGTGGCTCCCCACTCACCAGCATGGCGAGTGAACTAGCTCACTGAGCTAGCAAACGACCTTTCAGATAGCCCTGGCTGCTGGGGTGAGGGTCCCCAAGAAGTGGGACTAGGAAGGGGTTTACACAGACACCCAAGGGAACACTTTGCAGGAGGCCCAGCCTCCAGAGCCATGTCTGTGTGACAGGAGTAATGGACCCAACTGATTGGGACCCAGACTCCAGCCAATGAATTTGTAGAAAGCGGCTGCTAAGCAGAGGATGCTAATGATATGCAAATGAGCTCATCTGCTCCCACCTCCCCAATCCCAGACCTTACTTCACCTCACCCTGGTTTCTTCTCCTCCTCTTGGGGGCCTGGGGGATTGTAGGGAGATATTTCAGCTAGATACTGTCATCTCCACCTTTAGGTGAAGATCCTATGAAATACTATAAGGTCTTTTGGGAGGTGGAGGGAGCAGTGGCCTACCAAGCCACCCCAACCTCCAACTCCAGCACCCCCCCCACTACAGAAGATATGTACAAAGTTCTATCAGGAATTGTTTTGGCACTCGGATCTCCATCTGGGCTCAGTGTGGAGATGAGGGGCGGAGGCATCAGTGATAGGCGGTGGGAGATGGGGGTGCAGGAAATGGGGCCTGCCCCTCACCCTGGAGATGACAAAGGCATGGAAAGAGTCACCCCAGTGCCCAAGCTATAGCCTCCCATTGGATGGAAGGGCCAGGGTAGGAAATTCAGTGCAAGGTACCTTGAAGGCTATTGCTTTCTAAGGATTTTCACATTTTGATTTGGGGGTGGCTCTCTAGCAAGGGGTGGGGGTCTCCCAGGCTTTGGGGTGGGAATTGTCTCTGTGGCTTTTCTTCCCTCCTTGTTTGGAGGGGAGACCAGGAGGAGGCCAGATTCCCCCAAAGCCATGGAGAAGAGAAGGGTCTGGAAGACCTAGGAGGGGGAGTGGGGGAGAGGGCGAGCATGGGGGTACCCCTCCCCCAGAGATGCTGATGATGGAACCAGGGCACTGAGCGCCCTGCTTTGGGTTGGAGAAAGTGGGCATGGTCTCCAAGAGGGCAGGGAGGGAGGAAGTGGGAGGGGGGAAGTGGGGCTCAGCTATCCTAGTCTATAGCGTTGTCAGGCCCTCACATCGCAGTTCACTAACAGATCCTTAGAGCTGACCACACGGTGCATCCCCCAAACAACTCTCAGGGCTGCCTGGCTTGTCAGACTTCATCCGAATATTCTAGTTCCGCAGAGCCCAAGGTGAGCACACCAAAACATTCTGATGCATCACCAGACACCGTCCAAGTATGCCAGCCTACTGGAAGCCACCAAGCTGATCTCATCCATCGGACCACACATGCTACCCTGGCTCAACGAGTTCGACACCGGGCCACACTGGCCTGACAGCCACCAAACATCTGGCTCACCAGAGTCAATGAAACAAAGCCACGTGACACAGGCATGCACACAGAAGGCAGCGGGTGGGAAGGGGATTCTTTAACACTAGTTTTCTCTAGCTCTGTTTTGCAAGCCTCCTGCCAGGGCACATTTGCAGTCTTGGTGTGTTTGGATGGAGATGACCTTGACAATATTTGTTTTTTCCCCCTTTAGAATCCTCCAGATTGGATTCAAGCCCCACCCTTTATTCTCTTTCTGGGAGGACCCCCAGGTCAATACCAAAAGGGGTGTCTGGGTGGAGGACAGTCAAGGACTGGCCATCATCCAATACAGGAAGTGCATGCTTCATTCTGATGACATCACAGGAAATGACCTCAAGACTCCAGAGGAAGTACATACCCCCCAGATATCACCTAGATGACCTTCAAGAAAGGGCTCACTAAGACCTCACAAGAAGTCCTTGTCTCTCATCGTCATAAGGAATGACCTCTGAGAAATTGGTTCCTATAACGAACGTAAGGAGCACCCAGAAACACTCCAAAAGTACTTGACTCAATGACATCACAATGGGACCCTCACACCCACTACTCTAGGAAAAGCCACAGATGCCACAGCAAGTTGCTCCAGCCTCTCACAAGAGTCCTATTCACAGGACTCGCCCAATCCCAGAGCCGGCTTCATTCCCAGCTGCGCCATCCCTGCCCCCATCCAACCTGACAACAAAAGAGTGAAAATTCCACCCAGGAGGAGCAACTCCAGCGGGGACACAGTAGCTGAGGAAATCCGGGAACTCAGGGGTCTCCGCTCCAGATGCCCCATTTCAGCTCGAGACTCCTCAGCTACCTCTACTCCCATGGCTGTCCTGGATCTGGAGCAGGATCAAAGCATTTCAGGGAGGCCCCTCCTTCCAGGTGACCCAGAGGCTCCCTCCCCTCCTCCCATTTGAAAACAAAAACTTTATAAATGGGAAAAAATGTCCTTACGGAAGGAAAAAAGAGGGGAAAAAAGGAGGGAAAGAAAGAGAAAATAACGCTTTGTTTTCTATTAAAATCAACAAAATGCAATATATACAGATATCACACAGACCTGGGCCCTGGGAGGGGAGGAGCAGGCCCAGTCAAGCACAGGAAGGGAGGGAGGAGGAGGGGTCAGCTCAGGGTCAGGGAGGGGCTTCTGAGCCCCTTCCCCAACCACCACTCAATCCTGCCTATGACTACCAGAAGGGGAGGGTGCAGTCAGGCCTACCCCAGCCCCATCCCCAAACAGCAGGTCCGCACCAAGCTGAGGTCAGGTCAGGAGCTGGGGGAGGAGGGAGCGGAGGAGGAGGAAGAGGGGGAGGCGGGAGGCGGGAGGAGGGAGGACGGGCGCGCACACCACAGGCCTCATCCCACTTTCTGGGGGTTTGAGGCCCTCACCCCCTGCTCGTAGGTGACCCGCTGGCTGATGAGGTATTGAGCGGCTTGCGTGGCCGCGGGGCTGCCCGTGATGGTGACCCGCCGGTTCCGCGTGCCTGGCAGGAATTCGCCCTTCTTGGAGATCTGGATGCGGGCGCCTGTCAGCTCCTGGTACTCCACCAACGTCTTGCCCCCCTTGCCCAGGATGGCTCCCACCAGGTTCTCGGGCACCGCGATCTCCACCAGCTCCTTGGCGCTCTCGGCCGCCAGC